GCCAGTATTATATACGCTGCTATATACAATATTACATACAGTACCAAATGCAGTACTCCATGCAGCATTGTGTGCAGTACCATATATGATACCATATACAGTATTATATACAGTACTAGATACAGTACTAAACAGTATTGTATACAGTAGGAAGGAAGAAAGCGTTTGAGGAAACTGAATTGCCATGTGAAACCCAGAGGTTATGGATTTTAAAAAGTAATGAACACGAAGGAAATGTGAGGTGATTTTTGCATGCACTCACACTGGTATCACCATGCACGGAATGTGGTGACATCAGCAGCCAACATGCATCATGAAGTCTGTCACAGCCTCTTAACATCACAGGCGCCTTCTGCTGGCGGCCATTTTATCAGCCATTTCATTGTTCGGGGTATTCTCATTAAATCTTTCCAAGATATCAGTGCTGGCTTTTAAAGGTGATTTTAAAGATATATACTAAACGCAACAACATTCACTCATAAGTTAACTTCAATATACTTCAACCAGTGCCCAGAGGAAAAACCAGTAAAACGTGTGAGTGATACACACTTGCTTAGTTTGTCTGAGCACCTCGAAATGGAGCTCTGGTACCTTAACCAGTACATTCATTTCCAAGCATTTCTGGCGATTTTTTCCCTTTTATTTTATTCCCTCAAAGTAGAAAATTTGTGAATCTCTCTCTCTCTCTCACTTCATTCAGAGGTTGGTGTTAAAAGTAATTCAGTTTGTATAACTAGGAATATAATGCAGAAGCTGCATGTCATTTCTTTCTTGTTTGCTTTTGATTTACTTATGAATATTTAGAAATGAGATTTACGTAATTTCCCAAATGCTTCAAGTGAGAAGCGGAACTTAATTACGCTCAAACTGCGAGTCACTCCTAGCACCAATTGTCTCTGCCTCTTGAGCAGTTCAGAAGGCCAGTGATATATTGCTTTTACTGAGGGCAATTGACTAAAATCCAGCCCCCTCTTCAATCAATAAATGCAAAGTACTACCTCCAGCATTATTATTTGCAGCTTAAGTAAATTTGTTCAGGGAGGTTGGGGCCCCCAAGCCTCATCTGTCCTGCTCCAGCTCTCTTTTGTTGTAAATTGTATCCAGTAGTTCTAGTAGATTGATGAGTTTGATCAAGTGCTTTGATTCTGCCCAAGGGAATTGGAAAGCTCGGTGGAGAAGGGCAGAAAATCTCATCAGGCCCTTTGTGTACAACCTGGGAGCTTACCTCCCACTCAAAGTGAAACAATATGCTTGAAACTGGCTTGGAAAACACTGAGTGTTCTTCAGTCGCAGCTCTATGTGGGGATTTTTTCAGCAGCCGTGAGTAAACACTGTTGCCTGTGTGTCTAGAAAATTGTTGATTCAACACTCAGCTCCCATTTGAGTCTGCCCTACAGTGACACTGGAGTATTGCACTGAGGGGGAGCAGAACTGTTGGAGGTGTGACTTTTAGACAAGATGTTAAACCAGGGCCATTCCTGCCCTCTTGTGAACAATCCTGTGAATTGTAATATTTCAAAGAAAAGGAGGGTTCATTACTTTTGAAGCACTGACCAAACTGACTAAAAAACCCTGATTATCTAGCCATTAATGCCTTGCTGTTTCTGGGAGCTAGCTGTGTCCAAATTGGCTGCCAGACTTCCTGCATTAATCCTGTAACTACAGAAGGGCCCAGTGTTCTGGAACATTCTGAGGTAGACAGGGTAGATACGAGAGAAATTTCTTGTATTAGGGATGGAAATATGCCATCCTTACCCAGTCTGTCCTACATGTGACTTCAGTCCCACAAAACGTGGCTGACTTTTAACAACTGTTTCGTTAGGAAACTACATAGTTTAAACACGGGTCCCGCCTTTATCAAGATTGGTTGACATACGCCAGCAAGAACTAAGTGCTGAGAACGAATCAAAGGAAATTTGAACTAAATGAGGACTATGTGTACCACTTGAAGACCATGATGATTAAAGTGACAGAAGTCTATGTGTGCATCAATCTGTAACACTAATGCTGGCCCACAAAATTAACTGAAAATGAGCTGTAGCTGTAAATCATGATTAGAGAGTGTCCCTGACTTAATTGGTCATCCATCCACACATTTAAGGAGATATCACAGAATTGTCACAGCACAGAAGGTGGACATTCAGCCCATCATACCCAGACTAAATGAACCCTAGTGCCAGTCTCCTGCCTTTTCTCCATTTCTGTGCATACTAATTCATCCAGTGCCCTCCTAAACTTCTCAATTGACACCACCTCCACTATGTTTCCATAAATTGCACTCCACACCATAACTACCCACTATGTGGAAAATTTTTTTCTTACATTACCCTTCGTCATTTGCCAATCAATTTAAAATCTGTGCCCTTTTGTGCTTATTTCTTTTTACAAGTAGGAACAGTTTTCCCTAATCCACTCTATCCAGCCAACATATGATTTCGAAAACCTCAATCAGATCTCCTCTCAGCCTTCACCTCTCCAAGGAGAACAGTCCCAGCTTCTTCTATCTATGCACATCGCTAAAGTTTCTCAAACATGGAATCATTCTTGCTTCTGTATTCCCTCCATTGCATTTCTATTTTCGTATAATGTGGTGCCCACAATACGCCAGATGAGGTGTCTTATTCAAATCCTTGCTCTTTTACTCTATGGTCCTATTAATAAAGCTGAGAACACTGTATGCTTTATTAACCTGTCATGCCACCTTCAATGATCTGTGTACATCTACACCCAGCTCCCTCTACTCTCTGCACTCTCAATGATCTGGGTACATACACACCCAACTCCCTCTGCTCTCTACACTCTCAGTGATCTGGGTACACACACACCCAGCGCCCTCTGCTCTCTACACTCTCAATGATCTGGGCACATACACACCCAGCTCCCTCTGCTCTCTATACTCTCAGTGATCTGGGTACACACACACAGCTCCCTCTACTCTCTACACTCTCAATGATCTGGGTATATGCACACCCAGCTCCCTCTGCTCTCTACATTCTCAGTGATCTCTGCACATATACAACTAGAGGACATTGAAATACATTTGAGTCTGATGTTCAACAACTGACCGCATTTTAAAGAATACTCAGCTTTCTGTTTGGGTGAAATCAATAGAAATGAACAATGGATTTCTATAACATTCAGCAATCCCTCAATGCCAGTCTATCCAGGGAAATGGGGCAAAGGTGACCATTGGGAGGTGGCGTTGTAGTGATATTGTCACTGGCCTGACAATCCAGAGGCTCATCCTAATGCAGTGATGATATAGGTTTGAATCCCACCATGGCAGCTGGTGGAAATTACATTCAATAAATAAATCTGGGACTTCAGCTATGAGGAAAGGTTGGAGATGTTTGAAACTATTTTCCTTGGAGATGAGAAGGCTGTAAGGAAATTTAATAGAAGTTTTCAAAATTATGAGGCAGATTGAGAACCAGAAGCAAAAAATTCAAAGCGTTTTTCAAAAGGACCAAGGCTGAGGTGAGTAAAATGTTTTCACACAATAAATATTTAGTGTCTGGAATGCACTACTGGAAATGTGGTGGAGGCAGGGTCAATTGAGGCATTCAAAAAGGATATTGGATAATTATTTAAATAGGAACAACATGTTGGGCTATGGCAGAAGAATGCTCAAAGACCCAGTGCAGATACTGAATGGCTTCCTTCTGCACCATAACAACCCTGTGATAAAGCTGGTGTCATTCATGGCGAACTCCAGAGCTACCATCATTTGTTGTAAAAGCCTATCTGGTTCACTTATATCCTTTAGGGAAGGAAGTTCTTATCTGATCAAGTCTACATGTGACTCCAAATCCACAACAATATGGTTGACTTTTATCTGTCTCTGAAATGGCCCATGCAAGCCACCAAGTTCAAGGTCAATTAGAATACGCCCAGATCTGTGAATAAATAGAGAAATGAAATTTCAATACTGCATTGACTGTTTCTTGAGGCACATCTGAGGGTCTGAGTGTCCTCTTCCTACCATCAGAACCCATCCAGTTACTCCCAATGGTCACATTCATGTAATGTACTGGTGGATGTTTCCCCCACATTAAGAGGAAGGTGCCAATCTCACTGAGCATTGAGTCAGGCACCATGATGATGCAGCTTTGAAACACATTGGCCAGGATGAGTTATAGAGACATAGAGGACTAAAGCATGGAAACAGGACCTTCAGCCCAATTTGCCCATTCTGCCCAGTTTTCACAATTTAAACTAGTCCCATTTGCCTGCGTTTGGTCCATATCCCTCCGTACCTATCCATCCATGTACCTGTCTAAATGTTTCTCAAATCACGAAATTGCACTCACTTCCACCACTACTGCTGCGAAAAGGCTGACAACATCATCAAAGACCCATCACACCCCTGGTAATGACCTCCTACAATCTCTTCCATTAGACAGAAGACACGCACCAGCAGGTTCAGGAACAGCTTCTTCCCAGCCATTATTGGTCTGATGAATGGACTCTCTTGCCTCAAATGATGCTGATTTTAGTAATGTTGATCTCACCTAGTGCACACTCTGTGCACTGTAACCTGTATGCCTCTGTCTAAGTATTTTTGATCTGTACATCCTTGCTTAGATCTGCCTGTACTGCTCATAAACAAAGCTTTTCACTATACTTCAGTACATATGACAATCAATCAATCAATCAATCCATCATTGATTCTGTATGCCTCGTATACTTTACCCGACAAAGATCTATTTACCCCCATCTGAAAAATTCTGTTGGTCCATCAGAGAGTGGAGCCCCATCCACTTGCTGGACGTGACCAAACAAAAGGCCCCCTGTCCCTTTAAATACAAGGCTGCAGAGGGGTTGTTTCAGACTCTGGGAACTCGCTGAATGATTCAGAGCTCCGAGCTCTCGTGTACTGAGCAGCAGAGTTTGAGAAGGCAGCAGCTGGGAGTCGGGCTGTCTGACAGTAGTTAGCAAGCAGCAGTCACTCGGCAGAGGAGCTGTGACAGTGCACCAAGATTCTAAGAGACCCGTGCAAAATGCCCAACTTTGCAGGCACTTGGAAGATGAAGAGCAGTGAGAATTTTGACGATTTGTTGAAAGTACTGGGTAAGGCTGAAATGTCTTTACAGCTCTCTTGTTCCAGGGATCACTGTAGTTGTCTGTTACTAGGCTGGATATTACAGAGATATGAAGCTATAGCTTGTCTCAATATTCAGGTTAAATCTTGATCTAGTGCTGGGACTGTTCCTCTTTAATCTTTCAGAATAGATAAACCCATTGATCAGTTCATCTTTCTGAAATATTAAAAAATACTCTGACAAAACTGAAGGCCAGTTTGATAATTAATCAATGTTGTGGTTCCCTATATTTCTCTTGTGTTTTCTTCGCATTTTCTAGGATTCATCCAACGGCACTTCTGAAACATTTAGTCGTCTGGATGTTTGCTCCTACTGTCAGAATGTTGCTCATTTTAACCCCGATGCATTTAGTTTTCTTTATAAATGAATGTTCTATAGGGTGGTGTTTTGTAACACGGGGCGGATGGAGGTGTTATCTGGGTCAGAATTCCCTTCTCTTGGGTTCTCCACAAGCTGAGCCTTTGATTTGTGCTGTGAACTGGTCATTATTCGGGGCAATTTGTGTCGCGTTCTTGCAATCGAAGGCATTGGGGGGCCTTCTACATATCAGCTCCACAACCCTCCACGCCCAGAGATAGAAAATTGAAGAGAGACAAACAATTGAGTGCATCACGATCTGCCCCAATCTCTGTTCTCGAGTCTACCCCAAACTGAAGGACAGTTGTACGGGACTTGAAACGTTAACTTTGTCTCTCTCCCTCCACCGGAGCTGCTAGACCTGCTGAGTTTCTCCAAAGTTCGCTGTGTTTCTTTCCACCCTGCACTGACCGTTTCTTTAAATGTCACTGCCCAGGGGTCAGCGCCATGCTGAGGAAGGTGGCTGTGACGGCCGCATCAAAGCCACTGGTGGAGATCCGGCAGGACGGGGACCAGTTCTACATCAAAACCTCCACCGCGGTGAGGACCACCGAGATCAACTTCAAAATGGGAGAGGAGTTTGAGGAGGAGACAGTGGACGGGAGAAAATGCAAGGTGAATACCAGCGGGCAGAGTGACCAACACCTCATTCTGACCTGCCCTTGACAGTGTTTAGTAAGCGATAAGCATTTTGTGATCACGCAAACTGATGCACAGAAACTAATTCCTGCCTAACTGAGGGGTCATTTTGTTTGAATTAGCCGGTGCATCAAATAGTCACATTATTGATTAAGTATTTCCTGCAACCCGATTTGCAGTATTAAATGCAACTGGTTAAACTCTGTGATGCAGGAAATCTGAAATGAGCATGCAGAATGACTGGAGAAACTTGGCAGGTCTCGCAGCATCCATGGAGAGAGAAAAACAGTGTTAACGTTTCCAGTCCGGTATGACTCTTCTTCAGAAGAGTCCTCAGTAATGAAGCAGTCATCCTGGACTCGAAACGTTAATCTGCTCTCTCCGCAGAGCTGCTGAGTTTCTCTAGCAGTTTGTTGGTTTGTTTAATTCAGTAGTTGCCACTGCCAAGAGGGGTGATGAGAAGCATTTTTCACACAGTAACAGATAGGGAGATATCAGATACAAAAGGGGAGCATGTAACATTGAGACACAGGATGCATCATTAACATGGAGTAAACAAGCTGGGGGTGGTTGCAGGTAGTGATATAAAATGAAGGGTGACTAATTCATTGTTAGCTGGGAATCACTGGTCTATTTACAATAAAAGTAATGATACTGTAGATAAATTCCTTCACAGTAAAATCTGAGCAGCTCCTGAGTAGATTGAAATGATCTCACAAGGCTTAAGGAAAATGGGAATTTGAAATATTGTCTCTTTCCCACTATCTCCTGTTCATTGATGCTCTCCTGGCCTTAGCTCATTGACATGTCTTCACTGAATCAAAGAGTGAGGGAGCTTGGGGTCCAAACTCAACCAAACAGCAGCTGCTGGCTTCAGAGCCCACCACTCACGTTGACAGACAACCAGTTGACAATGAACAAGAAACTTACATTTTTACAGCACCTTTCATGACCTCAGCAAGTTCCAATGCACTTTACAGCCAATGAAGAACTTCTTTAAAGTGTAGTAAAGGAGGAAATCAGCAGCCAATTTGCACAGAGCTGTCTCCTATAAATGGTCAGAGCATCTGTTTTTCATGATATTGGCTGAGGGATAAATATTTTGCAGGACACTGGAGAGGATTCTATTGCTCTTCCTCAAAATAGAGCCGTGTCACTTTTTACACTCACTTGATGTTTCATTCCAAAGGACAGGTCTCCCTGCTGTATGGTAAATGTGAGTTACCCCACTGTGTGACAGAGCATTGTAAGAGAGGACATCTCATCTAGAGTCCAAAGCACCAGCACACTAGCACCCCCATGCAATCTGGCCTCACAATGACAGTGCCTTCTTTCTAATGTGTCAGTGGCTATACTCAGAGTTAAGGGCCAGTTCCCTTTACTCACTGTGCAGCCTTGGATTCCTTTGCTTGAATCTCCACAGTGATACTCAAACACACAACCTTCTGACTGTATTATAGTATCTGAATACTTTCTGAAATTATGCCTGCAGTATTTTATGACAGCTTTACCTGCACATTCCCAGTTATTTTGACAATAAAGATTGGGCCAGTCCTAGACCAGACTGCGTGACTTTCTTTCCTGAGAGGCAAGAGTAGACCTTGTTGGGTTTTTATGGTAAATCCAGCCATTTTCATAATCGATTGCCTGAATGTGGCCACAGAAGATTACATTAATAAATTAATTTTCTTAACTTAAGGAGACCATATTGCACTAACCATCACATAGCCTAGTCCATGTGACGAGACATAAGTACACATTCCACCAAAAAATTCAAATTCACTTAGTTAGTAACTTGGGAATGTTAATCTGATTAATGATGGCTATGAAACTACAAGATTGATATAACATTGGGAAATCTGCTGTCCTTCTCCAGTCTTCTCCTACATGTGACTCCAGATCCACAGCAATGTGATTGGCTGTTAAGTGTACCTGAAATGGTCATTCTGAGCCAGTCAAATTAATGGACAGCTAACAAAATGTCCACTATCAGAGTGCGCCTGTCCCAATAGAAAAATCACTTGCAGAGACAGGACTTGATTTCATGACCTTTGGTTTGAAGGATAGGGTCTAGGAGAGAAATTGAGCACTCACATCCAGGGTCAGAGTCAGTAGGAAGCTGTGTACAGAACTAACAAGTGAAATATGACAGGCTGGGGAACTTTGTGCAGAGTGAGATTATTTCTGTGTGCTCAACTGGTACCTCTTAATGTCTTCATCTTCTTTATTGTAGAGTGTTCCCAGCTGGGAAAATGAGAACAAAATCTATTGCAAGCAGACTCTTGTTAGTGGCAGTGGACCAAAAACACACTGGACCCGGGAACTGGTCAACGATGAGTTAATACTGGTGGGTGATTTTGATTTTCTTATAAACACCACTCTAAAATGAGGTAGTGTTAACTAGAAATAGGAACAATGACAACAGGAGTAGGAGTAGGCCATTTGGCCCCTCAAGCCTGCTCTGCCGTTAAATCTGATCATGGCTGATCTTTTACCTGTACAGCATTTTCCTGCAATAGACCCATATCCTTTGATCATTTTAATTGTACTCTTTCTTTACTTTTTCATATCATAACACTATTGATGGCAAGGCATTTGTTGCTCTTCCCTAATTGCTCTTAAATCAAGTGACTTGCTCGGCCAATTCAGAGGGCAGTTAAGAGTCATCCACATTACTGTAGGTCTGGAGTCACTTATAGACAAGACCAGGTGAGAAGGCAGATTTTGTTCCTGTAAGGATACTGGTGAATCTGATGGGGTTTGATAACAATCGATGATAGATGTGGTGGCACGATTACTGAGAACAGTGTTCAATCCCATGGTGGAGTTTGAAGTAATGTCCTCAGAACACTAGTCTGCTCTTCTGGGTCACTAATCCACTGACCCAGGCAATATTTATCCCTCATCACCTTATTGTTACCATGCTTTCCCAGTGTGCATGTGCTTGCTATGTGCAAATTGGCTTGAGCAGTGACTACACTTCAAAAGTACTTACAGTCATACAGTCATAGAGATGTACAGCACGGAAACAGACCCTTCGGTCCAACTTGTCCATGCCGATCAGGCAACCTAAATTAACCTAGTCCCATTTGCCAGCATTTGGTCATATTCCACTGAACCCTTCATATTCATGTACCCGTCCAGATGCCTTTTAAATGTTGTAATTGTACCAGCCTCCACCACTTCCTCTGGCAGCTCATTCCATTCTCTTTGCATGAGAGATTTTCCCAGGTCCCTTTCATATCTTTCCCCTCTCACCTTAAACCTATGCCCTCAAGTTTTGAACTCCCCTGCCCTGGGGAAAAATATCTTGGCTATTCACCCTCTCCAGGCCCCTCATGATATCTTTTATATTTTGCTGTTGAATTTAGTTCCTGAGACTAGACATTGCATATTCTGTAAAGAAATGCAGGATCTTGGAGTAACCTAGTTCTAATGATAAAATACTTGTCTTTTCTTTCATTTTAGACACTGGTTGCTAATGATGTCGTGTGTACGAGGATCTATGTTAAAGAGTAGCTGCACCCACAGTGTTTTTACTGGGGAAAGCCCATTAGCTGCCAGATCATCTGATCACCATGCGCATGATGTTCACTGATATTGAACAGTGATGGTCCAGGGTTTGCATTAATGTTGTAGTTTTTACTTTAATGTTGACAGATCTCTTTGATGTTTGTGATGCTGACGTTGTAAATCATCTGAAGTTTATTAAGTGTATCTTATTTCACACGGTCTTGTGCACTTTTGTATGTCTGATGTAGAAATGTTGAGCAATAACCTGTAATCACAAAATGTATCACTTATTAAAACCATTAGCTGCGTTTCTGTGCTCTGTGAAGTGAAAGTAGATTTCTTCACTCCAAGAAGTTGAATGCACTGGACAGAAGCAGAATGAGTTGGGAAATAAAGTCACAAAGGAATGTGCAAAGCCTATTTGTCGCTTTCATTTCTCATAAAAGGAAGGTTTATTTAGTTTCTTCATTGTTGCTTGTAGTATCTGTTCACCGGTCTATTTGACAGAGAGGTCATGGAAATAACACCAGTCAGTTTTTGAACATCTCAAGCCGGTTCTGCCATTCAATGAGAGCACCTTTGTTCTAACTCTACATCTTTGTTCCAGATCCCAAAAGATTTAGCAAACAACAATCATAACATTAATCAGATTTTAAAATTATAATTGCTGTTGCATCAATAGCTATTTTCAGAAGAAATGTCCAAACTTTTATTCACTTTGTGTATGGAAGCTTCTCCTAATTTCATTTCTGAAAATCCATGGGACCTGATGATCCACATCCCAGAAAATTGACAGAGGTGGCTGTAGAGATAATACGTGTGTTAGACCATAACACGTAGGATCAGAAATGGGCCATTCAGCCCATTGAGTCTGCTCCGCCAATCATTGAGATCATGAATGATCTGCTATTTCTCAGCCCCACTTCCCTGCCTTTTCCCCATAATCCTTGATTAAAAATTTGTCTGCATTAGCCCTGAATTGATGCCAAGTTGTGATGAAGTATTTGATTTAGAAATATTTAAATTCAAAATTTACATTGTACATGTACATTAACATCTCATTAACATTGGTGATCAACTCCCAAAGTTTTATTGATTCTGGAATTGTTCCTGCGAATTGGAAGATTGGAAATGTTATTTCAAATTATTTCAGAAAGGAGTGAGGGAGAATGAGAACACAGAGCTGGCATAAGGTGTTCAGTGGTTAGCACTGCTGCCTCACAGCACCAGGGACTTGGGTTCAATTCCACCTTCAGGCAACTGTCTGTGTGGAGTTTGCATGTTCTCTCTGTGTCTGTGTGGGTTTCCTCTGGGTGTTCTGGTTTCCTCCCACAGTTCAAAGATGTGCAGGTTAAGTGGATTGGCCATGCTTAAATTGCCCATAGTCCAAGGTGTGCAGGCTAGGTGGATTAGCCAATGTAAATGCAGGGTTACAGGGATTGAGTGGGATGCTGTTCAGAGGGTTAGTGTGGACTCAATGGGCTAAACGGCCTGATTGTACACTGTAGAGATTCAATGACTATTAGCCTGATGTCAATTTTAAGGAAATTCTAAAGGATGTGATGACTGAATGCTTAGAAAACAATGATTTGATTGAGAGTGATTAGAGTCAGCATTGATTTATGACTCACATTTGTCAATCTCTGTTCAGAGATTTTCAGGATATTACTTTCAGAGTAAGGGAAATTAATGGATATGGTGTACTTTAATTTCAGAAGACTTTCTATAAGGTCCCGCACAGGAGTTTAGTAGATAAATTAGAGCTCATTGGATGGGGATTAATATATGGGCATGGATGGAGGATTAGTTAATGCAAGGAAAGTAGGAACAAATAGGTCAATCTTGTATTGGCAGGCTGTGACCAATGGGGTATTGCAAGGAAGAAACTGAAAGAACTGTGGATGCTGGAAATCAGAAACTAAAATAGAAATTGCTGGAAACACTCAGCAGGTCTGGCAGTATCTGTGGACAGGGAGGTAGAGTTAACATTTTGGGTTCAATGACTCTTCTTCAGTTCTGGTATATTATGCTATATTTTATCTATCAGATTTTTACTCACTCACTCAAAATATCGATATCCATCTTGTTATGGAGAGGGAATGGCCGAACCCCTCTGATAATTAAACCAAAACCAAAATTAAACCAAAGCTGCAATCCATTATAATGAAAGTAGAGGTTCCCTTCTAATAATTACCCCTGAAACTCCCAGAGAAGCTTGTCTTTCCCCTCGCAATCTGTTAAAAGAGTGGTTAAAAGAAAGAATATCCCTGATCTCCCTTATGAATAACAAGAAACAATTTATTTATTTTATCATAACAATGAAAAAATTAACAGAATTGCGAACAAACCAAACAATTCCCAACTAAGTGCTAACTACTCCCTAACTGGTCTTAATTCTACTGGAATGCTGTTCAAATAAACACAAGTCCCACTGATATAAACTCAATTAATAAGACAACGATAAATTAAAACTTAATCTCTCCAAGTTTGCACAGACTATCTTCCGGAACACTTTGCCTTCTCCAGCCTTTCCCATGTCAATCTCACACCACAAATGCCTTTCTTCTGCTGATTCTGCTATCAGGGATATTTTTCACTATAATTGCTTCTGTAAGGACTTTTACCTAGAAATATCGTGGTACCTTTTAATTAGGTAATGCTTTCTCTGAGAGCTAATAGGTGTTGCCTCTTGGCAGTTGGCTCTCCCTCATCTTCCAAATGCCCTCATCTTTATACCCGTGATGACGTCACAATATTTCTTACGTAGGATTGGTTCAATGTTGTGAATACCATTAGATTTAAATTTGATAGGTTTTTTTAGTATCTAAGGGCCTGGTTTAAATTGATTGGCTAAATTTGAAAACTGGTAATAATGTTGCTTGGCTGTTCGATACAAAATGGTTCCATTTGGATGCTTTCTGTGTGCAACTGCTTCCAAGCACAGACAAAGCACAATCTCTTAAAGGGACCACACTCTGTGTTTTTAATTCATGAGTATTCTACACAACTTCGTAACACCTTCCCCCTTAAGAAAAAATGAACCATCATTATGAAACGATGGCTTTTTTTTTCTAATTCTTAACACCATTATCGCTAAATACACAGGTCAGTAATCTAAAGTTACACATTTTGTACTAGTTCTGCATATATATGTAACATTGGACCATACCGGTTCTATCTTCTGTACACATTTTCTTTTAGCGCTACGATAACGCATCTGCAATAACATTTTTTATGACCCACAACACGGACAATTTGTAAATTAAAAGCCTGTAACATAAGACGCCAATGAAATAGTCTCATATTTTCATCCAGAAATCTTCCCAAAAAGATGAGAGGGTTGTGGTCTGTATACATAACCGCCTCCAAAATATTGTTTGTGACATAAACATTAAAATGTTGTAAGGCCAGTACCAAACTCAATAACTCTTTTTCAATCATGGAGTATTTTCTCTGGTAGATATTGACTTTCATTGAAAAATAACCAATTGGCCTTTCAATTCCGCCATTATCCTCCTGCATTAACATAGCTCGAACCTCTATATCGCTGGTGTTGATGGCAACTTTAAAGGGTTTCAAGAAATTTTGTGTGGCTGTAATAGGTGCAGTGGTTAACATGGCCTTTAAATTCTCAAATGCCCCCTGGCATTGTTCTGTCCACCGAAATTTTGTGTTCTTCTTTAACAAATCTGTCAGCGAAACCACCACGCTATTAATGTTTGGTACAAACTTCTGGTAGAATCCGCTCACTCCCAAAAATCAAAGCAGCTCTTTCTTTGAGGATGGTCTTGGAAATTCCTTGATGGCCTTCATTTTCACGTTCCTCAGGGTCATCCTTCCCTGTCCGATGTTGCGACTGAAGAACATCACTTCTGCCTTTGCGAATTTGGTTTTTGCTAATTTTATAATTGATTTTCCCTCCCATAGTCGTTCAACCAGCTGTGCCAAATGCACCATGTGATCTTTCCATAAATGGCTAAAGATCACTGCATCATCTATATAGATGGCACAATTAGTCTATCCTATCACAACTCCGTTCATAAGTCTTTGAAATGTGGCTGTTGAGTTCTTCATACCAAAGGGCATTACTTTAAATTGATATAGGCCATTTGAGGTTATAAACACAGAAACGTCTTTTGATTTCTGTGACAAAGGTGACCATGGAGTAAGCTCAACTTTGTGATATAAGTGGCTTGTCCAACTTTTTCCACACAGTCCTTCACCCTTGGAATTGGTAATGAATCCAATTTAGTTACAGCATTGACTTTCTGATAATCCACGCAGAACCGTTGAGTACCATCAGGTTTGGGAACCAACATGATCGGCGAACTTCACGCACTTTGACTTGGCTCAATGACATTTTCTTGGAGTATTGCTTCCACTTCATTCTGTATCTGTGTGGCTTTAAGAAGATTAAGCCTGTAGGGGTATTGTTTTACCAGAACAGCATTCCCTACTTCAACCTCATGCACTATAGTATTAGTCCTCCCCATTCTATTCCCAGATAAGTCCTCATATTGCTGTGATAGGCCTTTCAACTCAGTTCTCTGTTCCTGAGACAAATAGCTCACTATCCTCTCCCATTCTGTAAGGATTTCCTCATTATTTAACTTAGTTTGAGGCACATCAAATCAAATGATTTGGAATCTGTTTCCTCACTCTGACAGGCAGTAACTAATACCTGCTTCTCCGGTTCCCTGTCCCTGTCATAGTAGGGTTTCAACATAATCACATGACATTACCCGATAAAAGATTTTCTTACGTGGCATCTTTACCAGATAATTCATTTGAATCAACTTCTTCTCAATCTGATAGAAACCACTAAATCTTACTTTGAAAGGGTCTCCTACTATTGGTAACAGCACGAATACTTTATTCCCAGGGGCAAACATCCAAATTTTCGATTTCTTTTCTGCTTCTTGCTTCATGAGATGGTTTGCCACCTTCAGATGTTGTCCAGCTAATTCTGTTTAATCTTTCTCTCACCTCAAATACACAATCCATCAGTGGGATCTCTGACTTCGGACCAATCAACTCTTCCTTAATTAATTTTAAAGGCCCTCTTACTTCGTGTCTGAATATCAATTCAAATGGAGTAAATTGAGTTAATTCATTTGGGGCATCTCTAATGGCAAATAACATAAATGGGAAAACTTTATCCCAATTATTTGGGTAATCCTGGCAATAAGTCCTCAGCATAGTTTTTAGGATCTGATGCCACCTTTCCATTGCTCCCTGGGATTCAGGATGGTGCAAACTCGATCTAGAG